ACTGTTTTTTTTTTGAGACATTTTGGGCACCAATTTGGCTGATTTTGACACTGATTTGGGGTGTTTTTGTGGGATGGTTTAGGAGCGGTTTTTGCACCACTTTGACACTATTTCGACACTATTTTGGAGGAATTGAAAGCATCATTTTGGGGCTGTTTCATGCACTGACTTTGGAGAGGTTTATGTAGCCTTTAAGTGTTGATTTTACGCATGGTTTAAAGTTGGATTTCAGGAACCCTTTTGCCCACTATTTTTGGGGTTTATCTTGATTATTATGTAAACGCTTTTAGGCCAATTCACTTGTTGTTTTTCCCTTTTTTGGCTTTGCTAGTTTTGGAAGTGGGTCTGTCTTCTTTCTTTTGTTTCATTTCCCTTGTTCAAAAGTTAAGTTAAAAAATGAGAATTTCTGATTTAATTAATTGAAAAATACTTAGAGATCTTTGAGGATTAGTTAGAAAACACTTAATTGAGAGTAAAACACCTTAAATCACTTTAATCACAGGTTAAAGTGTAGGCTTCCTAGACTTTATGAGCGCACCCTATATGGTAGTTCATCTATCTAAGTTTCGAATGAATGATGAAAATAGGCACTTGGTCTTAATTCACCAATTGATTAAAACATTAAGGATACACCAAAATGTGGCACATGTCTTCCATAATTAAATCAACTAGTGAAATTCCCGTCATGACTTAACCTACAATGAAACTCAATGCACCGGGATTTGAGCTTGAACATTACATTCAAATCCTTTTGACAATTGGGGACATTTGTTAATGTCACTTATGGATCACCAGACTAGAATAAATCTAGGGTCTAGGTGACGAGGGCGATGAAGACATTGCTTATGGTGCTTAAACGAGAGATACGAAGTGGAATTATTAGAATAATATTTCCTACCTCAAGGACCTTTAATAAGAGAGAGGAAATGACCGATGATACTATTCGTTGACTCTTGATGGGATTGTTGCCCCCGATACTCTTAAGTCGCTAGTAGTCCTAATATGATTAGAGTAATTAGCCTATGGACTGCACTACTTTACAAAATATTTACAATAATAAAAATAAAATTTCTTTTATCTATTAAAGTGAACTCAGCACGTAAGTCTAAACAGTAACTTTTGCATGAAAAATCAAATAATTTTGGTAAAACCTACAAAAGTACACGACTAGTCACTTGGATTGAGATTAAGGACTGCCTTCCGTAGATTGTCGGGTTGGTAGCTCTTACCCAAGGGTGAGAAGAGTACAACTCTGAGCCCCACATTTACTGAAGTCTTATACCTAGTCTTGGTCTTCCGTATGTGACCACAGGTTTTTCTTTGTCTGTTCGTGTTACGACTCGTTTTGCTGTTTTCTACGCTAGAATTCCAGTTTTCTTTCTTTTTCTGCAATTTATTCCCTGTAAATTATTTTATGTTCTATGAGCTAACCACATAGTGGGAAAAACTGCAGCAGATACGCCATGTACGCATGTACATTTTATTTATGATTATTTTTATCCCCGCAAATTATTTTATGTTCTATGAGCTAACCACGCCCCCGATCCTATTTGAATTGAACAATAATATTTATATTTTTATTGCACAATTTTTACTATCATTCATCTCGAGTTGTACTCATTAGAATCAAGCGAGTGAAAAATTGGTTTTACCAAATTTTCTTAAGTAAACTCTTACGTTTTAAATATTATAATATTCATTAATATTAATCATAAACATGGAAACACAAATAATCCTTAGATAAAATACAAATATTCTAAAATATTTAAATATAAAATCAAGTGCATCAAAAATCTTCTATAAACATAAAAAAATTTTATTTAAAAGCAATCTAAAAGGAGAATTCACATAGTTAACTGTTTGTCTGCTCTTTACATCTCTGTGAAGAGTATAGTAATATCTGGTAAGTTACTTGATCAGTGAGATAGCTAATGATAAAACAAATTCAGTATGCATGATAAATAATGATAACAATAATGATAAATAAATATGCTTAAATTCTTAAAGATACATAAAAATATGATTTAAATGCAATAGATGAAACAAGGGTCAGAAATAATAAAACTATTATTGACAATTCTATCTTTTACTATATTGAGAATCCCCTTTACTAAATTGGATTCTTCTTCTCCCATCTTTATCTTCATCGTCTTTCTATCTTTACCTTTCAAAACAAAAAAGGTGTTTTGAAAGGTAAAGATAGAAAAGAGTTTCTGATTTTAACCAATCTTATCCAACAAACAGGGATTCCTAGTGAAAAACCGGGGGTTCTTGCTAAAAAAAAAGAACTTCTATATTCTTCTTATTTGTTATTTGAATATTTCTATTTTTTTAATTTTATTTGAGATTTCTTCTTTCTTTTTCTTTAGTATTTAATGTCATATGTTTTTTGTTTTAGTTTTCAGTCTTATCCTAACCTTATTTTGTTTTAGAAATGTTATATTATACTTACATAAATCTTGTCTTATTTTATTTTATTGGGTTGTCACTTAGCTCGTCGGCCAACACCACCGTTGGTGAATGTTGGTTGTTTTAACATTTTATTTTATTAAAGGCCTTCTGATATCACTTACTTTGTTCTAATTTTAATACCAAGAGTTTGAAATATTACCATTTTTTAATCAAAACATATCTCTTCAAAACATTTGCCTTTCTAATAGAAGTCACTAGTTTATCTGTCGACCTATTATAACATATATGACACCCCTTCGATCAATTTCACCTATTATAATTTTTTTTCGGATGTATTTTTTTTTGTTAACCTGAATGTACTGCAATTATCATTGTATTAATACGCACAAGAAATATAATAACATATAATAATCAACAATTTACATTTTTGCAATTCCATGAATTATTGATAACTGAAACTAATCAAGTGTTAATTTCCACATTAAATCAGAGTGGCAATAATAGTTGTGTTCAATTTAAAAAAATATTCTAAATGCAAATACATAATAAATACTAGTAAACAATAATAAACATTCGTCTAGTGTTCTAAAGACAATTTGATTCTTGATTTAACAATCGAGTATATTACCCCATTCATCGGGCCAGCCTTGCAACAACTTTTCTCAGGTTCATCTCGAGCTCTTCTTTTTCTATAAAAAATCTAAATCAATATTTTCTTTCAAATTAAGAAATAATTAAATTAAATTAATTTAGCACATTGATAATTTCAATTGGTTGTTTAGGTTAAATTGATTTCTCATCATCCAAAGCCTAAAGTCCCTTCTATTCTCCTTATTTCCTTCACTACACCTAATTTACACAAACTATCCACAATTTGCTCCCGATCCGGCCAGCTGTGAGCCATGACAAACAAGTTAGGAGAAATTTTTTGTTAAAATTAATATTAAAATAATCTATAAATCAATACCTTACCTAAAATTTCCTCCCTAATTTCTTTCTTTTCTTTTTTTGCCTTATGTGTCTCTTCATTTTGCTTCTTTCTCTTCTCTTCTTTTTTTTTTTCGCCTTTTTTTTTCTTCTTTCTTTCACGCTGCAACTGCTACCTGAGTGCTGTTCTCTGCATTGTTGCTCCTCCCCCAACAGTACTAGATTGCGGGTTGGGGAAATGAAGGGAATAATGGGAAATTACTTAGGATATATAAGCATAAATAAATTATAATTAAATTAACTTAATTTGATTAAGTCCCTTCATTTAAATCTCTTCCCGCCAATGCATGTTGCGTAGAGTGCGAAGCTGGATATGCTGACTCTTGCAGATAGTGCTAGAATAGAATTTAATTAATAAAAATGAAATTAATATTTTTTTATAACATTAAAAAATAATTTATATATACTTCTATTTATAAAAATAGTTTGGATGAGTTTTGTGTGATAAAAAAAGGGTATAACTTGAAATAAAAGTTAATTTACCTTTTTTTTCTTTTTGAGTATTACATGTATTAACCTAGATGTACTAGATTCAAATACTTAAGATCTATTGTAGAAAAAATGGAGAAGTTACCCATGATACATTTGAGTTGAAAATATACATGAGAATATAACTTCTAACATTATGCTTATGTGGTAGAATGTGTTAGTGTATCAGGATGTTATGTGATGCAATAAGATATTATCATGAATTTCGTGTTAGATTCTATAAAACCACAATTAGAACATCCGTGCTTTATAAATCCTTGTGGCAAGTGATCTATGAGGGCCTAGAAGCATTAAAAAAAATGATGATTTACATACTTACCACATATTCTTCTATATTTATATATTTAACACGTGAAGTTTGATATTTATTTATATAGCACCATATTTTAAGTCACATAAAAGATGTCACTAATATTTTATTTTCAAGTTAACTATACCTTCTCATGCTATGTTTTGATGCTATTGCAATACTAAAATGTTATATTAAATATCAAAATTCAGGTGTTAGATATGCAAATACTTAAGAATGGTGTGGTATGTATGTATATCCTCCTAAAAATAATAAATTATGTGTGCAAGGAGCCATCTTTCCATCAAAAGTTAAGAGTGCATTGGAGCAAAATACAAGGGCCAGCATTTTTTTTTCTCTTCTTCATGCATTGGGCCAACTAAGCGTGAGCTTGTCGTATCACAGTGATAAGTGTCCGAATTCATGTTTATGTTTATGAACATAATGGACTATCAAGTGAGCTTGTCGTATCACAGTGCAATTGTAATTAGACGGCAATAATTATACAGTAAAAATAGAAAGCTCAAAAGTGCACCACCACGTCGGTGAGCACATTTTTTGTTTGGTTATCCTCTTTAGTGAATGCCGCATCATGTGTCTCATTTACTAAGCATCATAATCTATCTTGATAGAAGTTTGAGTACTATCCATTTTTGTTTTCTGTAATCTTATCAAACCAATTTTTGTTCGTTATTCATGGTTGGGAAAATTAATATTTTTTTCCTATTCTTGGTTTTTTAAGGTCACATTCAAATTCTGTCTGGTGGAATCTAAGTATTCATAATATTTTTTTTTCTTAGATTTTAATGTTTTGTTCAAGCAGGTAGCTGCTGATAAGAAAGCCAATTTTGAGAAGAGTAATTCCACACAACAGTCTTTATCAGAGTTTTCCTCTAAAAGAGTGAAAAAGTCGTTTACATTGTTAAGGCCTGTAAGGGATGTGAACGATTGATGCTTGAGCCCATTTTATCTGATAGCTCTACAATTTTTCTTAATAATTTACCTCGTATAGGTAATTTGCATTTGCAATGACCTTTATGCACCGGCTTTGAGACCACTGCGGCAAATTGCAAAGTGAGTTCCTTGATATATCTGCCACAACCATCATTGGATGTAGTTTTCGAAATCATTTAGTAATTTTATGTTGCTGTCAATAAATGTTGCATCAGCTCTATTTTTGTTTTTTTACAGGGTCCACATGTTTGTGCAGCCAACAATAAGTCGTGTGGTGTACAGGTAGATGATTTTGAAGAAGATTAAATTTAAAAGTTTAAAGCATGTCTTTTTTATTCTAGAATAACATTACCGTTGTTTTTTTTCACTTGTGCGAAGAAACCTCATTACCATTGACAGAAATTACTTATGATAGGCTTAGATATATTTGCCAAAAGGAAGGCTTGAAGATAAATTCCATTGCACTTGCCGCCCTTGCGGAATATACTGGTTGGCCTATTATCCTTCTTCCCCTGGCATCCATTGATTTTGTCTTATTTAATATGCTACTTGATAATTTATCTAACCTTAAAAAAGATTTTGAATTTTTTATTGTTCATTATCCATGTATCCTACTCCTGTTATTTCTCAAGAAATTCATGTGACATCTTGTAAAGCTTAGTTGCAATATTTAAGCATTCTCTTAATGTGATGCTTAACTTATTTCTATTCTTGCATAGAATATTCTACTTTTCGGTGTCACTCAGATTTCTTGTTATTATTGGTAAGCCATCGTGTCATCCATGATGCACCCAAATAACCCAAAACATTAAGCCAAAATTCTTTAAACTTGAAGATGATCCTCTTTTAGATTTTATTTTGATGTTGACAATGGATTTATGTATTTTCTCTATGTAGAAGATGGTCAAGTTCAGCCTCATTTTGTTCATTAGATTTAATCATATTTAAATCAATGGTACCCTCACAGTTAAATTAATTGAATTAATAGATATTATGATTCATAGGAAGATAAATATCTTATGCATTAAAAAAAAACTAAATGGGAAGGAGAGAAGGCTAAGGAGATTGATAAATTAGGTTTCGAACTTTGGTATTCAGGTTAGATAAGAGTTTGAAAGATAATCTTGTAAAAATTAATAGAATTGGTGATAGAATTATAGCCATAAAAATTGTTGTTGATATTAAAATTTTTAATGTTATAAGCGCTTGTGTTTCTCAAATAAGTTTAGATATAAGTTAAAAAGAAAAAATTTGGAATGATCTAGAAGAATTAATATAAATGATACCATGTGAAGTAAGAATTTTTAGTGATGGAGATTTAAATGGACATGCTGGTAGAGTGGTAGAAGATTTTAGAAATATTCATGGTGGCTACGATTTTAGAGTGATGAAGAAGATTAAACCATATTAGATTTTGCTTTAACATATGATTTTGTTATTACTAATATTTTATTTAAAAAAAGAGATGAACATATTATTGCTTATAAGAATAAATCTAATAAAACATAAATCGATTATTTTGTTATGAAAAGAGAAATAATCGAGAATGTAAAGATTGTAATGCCATTCCAATTGAAAATGTAAATATTCAACATCAATTATTAGTTCTGGATTTTAAGATAACTGGTTGTAAGATAAAAAATACAATGAAACACTATCATAGAATTAGATGAGAGCACTTTAAAGACAAAAAAATTATTTTTATGAGTAAACTTTAAAATTTCTAGATTTGGGATGCTCATGGGGAAACTAATTCTATGTGGGATAAATTAACAAGCACTTTTAAACAAGTAGCGAAAGATGTACTTGGAGAATCAAAAGGAAAAATTTTTATAAATAAAAATAGTTGGTGGTAGAATATTAATGTGTAAGAAAAAATAAAATATAAGAAGTTATATTTTAAAAAATTGTTTAAATGTAAAAGCTCAGGAAATTGGAAAAAATATAAGGTGGTCCGTAGGGTGTCTAAGAGAATAATTTGTGATGCTAAAAAATCTTTTTTTAGTGATTTTTATAATAGATTACATACTAAAGGGAGCGAAATATATATATATATATATATAAACTAGCCAAACAAAAAAGAAAAGAAATATAAAGATTTAATTCATGGAAGATATTCAACATAGGTGAGTAAGCTATTTTGATAAACTTTTTAATAAAGTTTATGAAAATACGATCGACCTGAGTGATCTTATTATTATTAATAATACTAAAACATTTTATTTTTATCGTCATATTAGTAAAAAGGAAATTGAGAAGATTTTAAAGAAAATCAAGTGTAAAATCTGTATGACCTGATCATATTTCAATGGAAATGTTGGAATATTTAGGAGATTTGAGAGTTTTTTGGTTTACCAAATTTTTTAATATTATTTTAAAAACTAAAAAAATTGTTTGAGTGGAGGAAGAGTATTTTGATCCCATTTTTAAGAATAAAGAGGATATATAAGAGTGTGCAAATTATAGATAAATTAAGTTGATGTCATAATTTAAAATTTTGAGAGTGTAATGGAACATAGGTTAAGACGTGATATAAAAATTTCTCATAATCGGTTTGGATTTATGCTGGGGCAGGTCTACTATTGAAGCTATACATTTATTGTGAGATTTGATGGAGAAGTTCAGAGATAATAAGGAGAATGTAAGGTGTATCTTCATATGATTTTTATTGATTTAGAAAAAACTTATGATAAGATTCCAAGGGAAGTCATTTGGAGAGTTATAGAGAAGAAATGTGTTGATATGACTTATATTCAAGTCATTAAAGTTATGTATACTAAAGCTGTTGTGTTCGAACATGAGGATTGACCACGTATTTTTCTATTTCAATTGGATTACATTAAGGATCGGCTTTAAGCCTATATTTTTTTTCTTTAGTTATGGATGCTTTTACTGGACATTTACAGAACAATGTACCTTGGTGTATTGTTTTCTCTGATGATTTCTTTCTTATGGATAAGAGTAGAGAAAGAGTACAAGAAATACTTGAATTATGGAGATCTATATTGAAGTCTAAATGCCTTCATTTGAGTATATCTAAAACTCAATACATGGAATGTAATTTTAGTAGTGGTAGCTCTAGTGGCAGAGTTGGAACTATGGGTGTTCATATCATTAAAAGGTGTGAACATTTTAGATATCTCGGGTCTATTGTTCAAAGTGATGGTGATATATATATTGGGATGTTATTAGTAGAATTCAAGTTGGTTGGTTGAAGTAGAGGAATGCACCAGGTCTATTGTGTGATAGAAAAGTATCGCTTAGACCCAAAAAGAAAATTTTATAAGATGGTGGTTAGACCTACAATGCTCTATGATGTAGAATGTTGACCTTTAAAAACGAAGCATAAAACTAAGTTAAGTGTTGCTGAGATGACGATGCTTAGGTGGATGAGTGTCGTGACACTTAGAGATAATGTGAAATGAATTTATTCGTAATAGGGTTGGTGTAGCTCCAGTGGCTGACAAAATTAGAGAGAGTCGTATTAGATGGTTTGGTTACATTAAACATTAACCATTTAGTTATCCGGTTAGGAGAGTAGATGTCTATATTCGGCTTATGTTAAGAAAGACAGAGGTAGACCTAAAAATTCTTGAGCATATTGTATGAAAAATGAACTTAATCAATTAAAATTAAATGAAAATATGTAATAGGATGTAATGGAGAAAAAGGATTCATGTTGCCGACCCCACTGCTTACTTCATTTTTGGGTGAGGTATTTACTTCTCCTTAGAGCCTAGGGTCTAGCCTTGGATTTTTCTTGTTTGACCCTCCTAGAGGACTAGTACTAGGACCCGCACTACTTAGAAAATTTGAGCCACATCTTTATTCCTTCGAGCCTCATATAAGCGGTTATGAATCTTCGACATTTTGCTGAGTTGATTAGAACTGTCATATTAAAGCTCAAGTTGAGTTCCAACATGAATAGGAGCAGCCATAGGGAAACCTTCAGCGACTTGAACACTCGCGAACACCGCAATTTACGCACTTACTACACCACACACGATGTTGACTTGAATTGACCTGACCGTCGGAGAGCTTATCCAGACGATCCCAAATAATGAAATAGATCATGCGAACACGTCTGAAACATCAACTTTAGTTAGAAAGGACACCCATATCGCTATGGTTCCACGCGCGAGCAAATAACACAAAAATTGATGCACATTTTTTTAATGTAGGGGTGCGGGTTCAGGCTCAGGCCAGGTTCAATTTGGGTTGAACATGGGCTGAACACGAGCTAAATAATTTTGAATTTCAAACTTTCAAATTTCAACTGAGTCGTTTAATTTCACCTTAATTAAATTCATTTAGAGATTATTATTTGCCAAATTTTGCTCCCCCATATATGTAATTCATTTAATTCCACGCCCAATGCAGTGGAAAGGACCTTTGGAGTTCCCGGGAAACAAATCCTGTTCAGCCCCCCCCCTGCTACCTCCTTCCCATTTTGATCGCAACTCTCCAGCTCCCTCCTTCCCATCTCGACCGCAACTCTCCCACTCGCTTCTCCCCTCTGCAATGAAAACCCTCGCCCGCTCGCCTCCTCCCTGCGCCAAAGACCCCTGCTCTCCTCCTCCCTGCGCCGAAGACCCCCGCTTGTCTGCTCGCTCGCCTCTTCCTCTTTCGGTCGTCCAACTCGTAGGATTTCGAAGACCATTCCTCTATCGTGAACAAACAGTACAGAATTGCTTTCCATTTCCAACCATCTCAAAACAGGTTTCAGTGGTTTCTCTTGCTTTTTTTGTTCCCCCCAACACTGTTAATCAATTTTATTATTCATGGTAACTATTGTAAGATGCTTGTGATTAGCTCATAATCTCTATTTACTTTGTAATTATTGGCATGCATATAGAAGTGATGAGATAAACAAGGCCAGCCTTGCAATTTTGGGTTGCCCGATTGTGCAACCAGATGTTCACTTAGAGGAACTAGAGGTTCGATTGGGTGAACATGAGGCTAAACTTCTTGAGTTTACGTTAATTTTGCAGAAGGTGCTTAAATCTAAATCATAGTTTGCGGTGATGATTTTTCCTTAAAATATTGGGAAATTGGCATACAGGCTACACACTTCATATGTGTTTACATATCCAACGCCTAAACTTTAATTCTTACACACATACCACCTGACCCTGTGTATGAAATGAAGTTATTTCCTTTGCGATATGAAAAGTTGGATGGTATATATGTAAGGGCTATATATGTAAATACTTAAAAGTCGTCGGGTATGTATGTGAACGCTTTTTTGGAGGAAATTGAGGGTGATATTTTTAATGGGATGTTAAGGTGGATTGGTGTTTGTAATTGTTGTCTTTGCTCCCTATATTTGCCAATTTAGGGGAATGTTTAAGAGTTGCTTTTGGTCACATATGCTTACTGTTCAAAACTGATTACTTATTTCTTGGAGGCTGCACTTGTTCAATATTGTCACTGTTTGGGTTACTGTAAATCACTGTTTTGAAGAGGGGTTTGGGACTTTTAAGTTGTCA